AACCCTGTCGTATCCCACCCCTGGTATGGACCATTTTCTCTCACAAATATTAAAGTAATTTTGGTTTTATTTTGCTTTTTTCCTTTATTATTACAGGTGAGCCAACTATGATCATAAACACAGTCTTTTAATTTTGGAAGATCAAAGTGGATAAAAAGGGCTAAACAATGAGCTTCCATCAGAGTGAATGTAATAATATGATTTAATGTGATGAGATGATTTGGGATGAAACTAAAGTGGGACAATGAGAGTAAACCATGAGATATTGTGCTGGCTACCAACTTAGCTGTCATTGAACAAGGGTTTACCAATTCACAGAAGTCAAGGGAAGCAATTATTATTAGCCTTGAGGGCAATGTGACTGTCTCTGAAGGACATTTGCTGGGCCAGGAGTCTGTTTGAGCTGGACACGGCTTATGTTTTTATGTTTGTACATAAGAGAATTATATGATGAAGAGAGGAATTGAAGTGCATGCTACAAATGTTAGTGGCCAACAAAATGTCTTGATGAAAATCCAGTGAAAATGTTGAAAAATGGGGAGGTTTCACGAATGAATAACTGAAGAAATGTTAAAATGTGCATGTAGTTAGCTTTATGGAATGGCTGTGCATATAAAGATTGCATTTCTGCAATTGTTATTCTTCCTATTGGAAGAATTTTGTTATTGTTTCTTATGTGCAAAGAAAAAGGTAAGGAAAAAAATGTGAAAAGTCAAGGAAGTTTGTAAAGCATCCATGGGATGAGATTTGGTAGAAAACTAATTGAACGGTCACAAAACTGGAAGTAAGCATTCTTATGTTGGACTGGATATGTGCAGAGCATATTTTTGCACCTCAGCTAATACACATATAAATGTGAAAAAGGATATTGCATGTGTGTTGATTGAGAAAAGTATATAATAGACTGATTAGGATTAAGATTGAATTGTGGAGTATTTTGTGCAAACCTGGAGTTGAAAGCTAGTATATAATGTGAAAAATATCTTTCATTGGTTTGGTCATATAAAGAGAATAAATGAGGATTGAACTGCAATACAAAATAAAATTAATGGAAAATGGAAAGGCTGAAAAAAACATGGTTGGATGAAGTTGATGAAATCCTGAATGAGAGAAGTAAGTTTAGGGGAAAAAAGAAAAGAGAGGCACTGTATAAAGTAGTAGTATGGTGTAAGCAAAAATGGTTTGCAAAGATAGAAAAATATGAAGAGATAAACGTATACATTTTAGCTAAATTTTAATTATGTTTACTTCTTTTTCTTATTGCATGCCATTGATTTCTTTGCTATTTCTTATTCCCATTCTTCACTTTGCATAAATTTTCTTACTCTTTCAGGGAACTATGTGTTAACCATTTGGAGTACTCATACAGTTCTGACTTAAATATCTATAAGCAGAAGTAACATATGGTAGAACATGCAGTACTTTCTCATTCTTTTAGATAAAGCAGTAGAATTTGAAGTCATCTAGTTCTAGAAACTTTGGCCAAGAAAATCTTCTGGGTGTTTGATTTTGATCCTGTATCAATTATTCTTGGAGAAATGCCGTGTTTAATTCAGTCATAAAACTTCACTGATTTCACTAAATAAAATTAAACATGATGAATCTCAAAATGGCTTACACAAGAAAAAGGATATGTGTGTATGCATGTGTTTTTAGTATTTACAAAATTCCCATTTTTTTTCCAAGAGTGCTGAAAGAAGTGGATTAAAAAGCTCATCATTTTCATGCAAAACATGTGCAGGTCCTGGGATGCTTAAAGGACTAGATAGCTAATTTAATGATATTTCATATTTACATGCAATATATTGTATAGTTATATATTTGTTACATGAGGATATTTATAGATTTTTTAAAGTTATCCATGAATATTTTCAGAATTTTTTTTTAACAGGGATATTATTCTCTGTAACATATTTTTAAAAACGGACTGGTTGAAATGAGGTATATTTAGTTGCAATAGACTGTGTAGTGCAATGGAAAAAAGAATTATAATTTTAATTATATTGTGTATTTATTCATTTGAAATAGTATTAATTCTCAAAGCCTTGTAGTATTCCTTGATTTTGGGGATGGTTTCAGAAAAGCCTTTGGCAAAACTCTTTTTTTTTTTTTTTACAATCTTGTAACCGTATCTTTTTTTTCTCATACTCAAATACCAAAAACACTTTTGTAGTGTGAAATTAGTCCTGACTCTATCTAAAGAGTTTATAGTGAGAATATAATTAGGCATATACAGAGGCCAGCTTATCATGTGTTTGTCTCCTCTTCATGATAATGTGAAATATAACAGCATGTGTGGTGTACCACACTGAGAATCTCAGGCAACTCATTATATTTTTGGTAGTGGTGGAATTCATAATGCTTAGCAGCAGTTCTTGGCTTATTGGAACATCTGTTTCTATTTTCAGTCCAGTCACTTGGCCAGGACATTGGAGCATCCCTGTGCAGAATAGAGACTGACACTTTCTAAAATTTTAATTTATTTCAACTGATCACTTAAAGCCTGTGTGTGTGTTCTTGTGCAGATAGATTAATTAATTCCATACCCTAAATTTATTCAAAGATTTCAACTGAGTTAGTAAAGAATACTACATACAACTCAACCTTTGGGTAATGGCTGACTGCATTCTGCATCAAACCATTTGATAGTAAGATTGTTAGTTTTAGTATTTTTGGCTTCAAATCCAAGGAAAATCGCTCTGTAGCCAAACGTGTGGCTGAATTAGCTTGGGAAAAAGTTCCTTCTGTCTTTGATAAAGTGGATATAGTTTAAGACTGTTGTTTAGTTGAGGGACAAAACTTTGAAAAAAGTCATGAATAGCCAGCACAGCTAAATATACATTCTATTTAAGATTTTTATATGTGTGCTTTATGATGCTTGAGCAAATCTGCACAAATAGGGAACAAACATATTCTGAAATAATTTTTAGAAATGCTTATTAATGTACATGAAAGGAATTCTGTATAAGGGTATGTGATTTGGTGATATATTTTCAGATTAGATTCCTTTTTTATCATTTTTTATTCTGGAAAGAGATGTTCTGTCCCTCAGAAATAATCTGTAGGTACAGATAAAATGGGAAGGGAGAGATGTCAAAATACACAGGGACACTAACTCTGCTTCTGATTCCTCCTTTTTCCTTTGTCCATCTTTCCTATATTTCATAAATTACAAACAAACAAACAAAAAACAATAGTGTGACCTTCTGCCAACTAAGCCACCTCTCAGGGTTGTTGTTTTGTGGGGAGGAGGAGAAAAGAATATTATGTATGATCACTGCCTTAAGTTACTAAAACAATAAAGGCAGGGTAAAAATGTAATAAATAAATAAATAAAGAGCTCATAATAAAGAATACTTCCCTGAAGTTGGCTTAGAGTTCAATATTAACCAGTTTCCTAAATGAGTCCAATTATAAGTTCTGAAATGACAAACGTTATAAAATAGCATAAGCATGGCATATCCAGGTAATAATTTCAATTAGAAATAGTGAAGTCTTGTTTTTGTTTCCCTATTTCTCTATATCAATTGCACCATGCCTACTTATAAAATGCTGGTCATTGAGAATTGCTTACTACCGTGTTTCTCATATAATAAGGCCGGGTCTTTTTTTTTTTTTTTTTTTTGAGCCTCTAAAAAATGGCTAGGCCGTCTTTTTGGGGGTGACTTAATTCCCCCCCCTTGCATCTTCGGGCGGGTGGGCGGCGATGGCTTGGATGTTGACCTCGGAGTTGGTGGGGCACTTCGTATCAGGGTCAACACAGGCAGCACCATATCCAGGTGTGCAACAAAAGTACTTCCTAATGGCAAGCCCCCCCCCACCATTCCCCCCCATTTCGCATGTTTTAATATAGGCCTTAATTTGGGGGAGGGGCTTAATTTCATTTCATGCCTATAAAACATGCTGGGACTTCCTATTGGGGGAGGCCGTATTGTTGGAGAACAGGGTAATTATTGCTCCATCAGGCTTTTATGCATAAATGTAGCCACTATGCTAAACACAACGTATTACATTGACCAATTAGATCAGTCTAAATCATATTTGTCCAGACAAGCACATGGATTTTATTGATGGACATTACAATATTCTATCCAATATTGATCACATATTGTCATACCAGTCTGAAAAATAGTCATTCAAGACAGAATCTATTACACACTGTATGTACTCATCAACTTTAGATCTGCATTGGATCTTGGCTATGATCAATCACTCATTGCACTTATGCAATACTCTTGAGCTCTAGAACCCTAACTGGACCAATCTTTCTTACCCACAAATATTTTCCTGAACAGCCAGGACTTTTTCTTTAGACTAGCAAAATATCTACATTATAACTTTGCCTTAAACTCTAAAGAATGCTAACATTTAAGGTACTGTCAGACCTGCCCCAGTCCAGGAAAGAAAGACTCTAGACTCCATTGGGTTGAAGTGAAATTTCTTTTACTTAAAAGACATTGGCTGCAGTAAGGTCAAGCTAACTCTGTATTTTACATGCCCAAAAGATACAGGAGGATTTCCACGTCATCCCAGCCCTCCCACTGTGACCAGTCCATCTTCAACCAACTGGAATTCGCTGAGATGTTTTGAGAATGCTGAAATGTTTTGGGTTAATAGGCATTCTTTCGGGGGGGCGGGGGGGGCGGCTGGTTCCTCTGGTCTTCATCACTTGTCATTCCTCCCTCCCTATTTCTCATCATGTTCAACATAGCTTCATTGCCCATTTATCCTAACCCCCCAACCTTTGATGACTGATGCCTGGCAGACCTCACAGGTACTTCCTATGGTAGATTTATTTATAATAGATCTACCACTCTTTCTAAGTAGTTAACAACCTATATGAAAATGTGTAAATCAAAACAGAATTAATAAAATGTAACAACAACCAATTCCTTTCCCAGGGCAATTGGTGATAATAGCCCACAGGGTGCAGGTGGATAGTAGAGAGGCAGTTGATTGGACTTCCAAGCTAGAGGTCACCTTTTACTTTCTTTCTGCAGGGATCCTTTCCACATGGTAGTTGATGGCAATGGCCTTTTGAAGAGATAAAAGGAATAACTTCAAGTAAGCAAGATTTTATGATGATTGTTGTTTGCATTGTCTTTCCCAGTTTATTCTCCTCTCCCCTATTTCTATATATCTCTTGTTCCAACATAGAATAGAATACAGCTGGAAGGGACCTTGGAGGTCTTCTAGTCCAGCCCCCTGCTCAAGCAGGAGAACTATATTATCTCAGACAAGTGACTCTCCAGTCTCTTCTTAAAAACCTCCAGTGATGGAGCACCCACAATTTCTGAAGCAAGCTCTTCCACTGGTTAATTGTCCTTACTGTTAAGAAGTAACAGCAAGAAATAGGAAATTAGGAAGTAACATAAAGGAATAAATGATTTAGTCTAGATTTTTTTAAAAAAAGATTGAACGCGTGAATGAATTTTTGGGGAGATAATGTAATAAACTATGATACCATTATAGAAAAGTCGATCTTGATTTCCTGAGTGATAGCTTTTAATGATTTTTTGAAGGGGGAAGATTTTACAAATTACTAGCCAGTCTCTAATATCTGACAAGTTGCTAAACAGGCTGAGGACAGTACAGTTTCAGATTTTCTTACTGAAATGGATTACCTAAAACTATTTCATTTAATGACATTTGGCATTCAGGATGAATTGTGGGATTGCATCAGGTTTGGTAGCTGTGATAGATTAAGTTTTGGGGTAAAAGAGGGCTAAATAACTCTTAAACTGTTAACCATGGTATTCATTTTCAATATTTTGTGTGCTTAGAAGGACCCCTACAAATAAAAACAAATAAATAAAAAATAGTTTAGCATTTGTTATAGTATGGCAGAAAGGCTATCCAGAAGAATGCAAGAACCATGTATAACAAAGAACTGGACTGAATGAAAAATAAATGCCTCCAGTGGAATAATCATTATTAGAAAGTTCCACTGATGTATTAGGAATTCTAATGAGTTCTTCAGTTTCTGAAGAACTTCAGTTGAGAGAAAACTGCTGTAGGAAAAAGTTCAGTTACTACTGTATATGAAATGGAATTCTGCAATGAGTGTGCTTTAAGCAATCTTCCATAATTGATTTTCTACTGCCAAAGAAATTCTTCCAATCAAAAGGCACAACTAAATGCCCATAGTTTATGTCTTATCTGTCTTGATGTGATATTCTGCCTGTCTAGTCAAAAACTGTAAACATGATAAACTAGTAGAACTGATTTGGGGATCAAGAATTAAGTGGACGGTGATCAATAACAGGATTGTATCCATGTATCCATTTTATTTATCATGCTAAATAAAATAAAATGACAATTTTGTGAGAAAAAAAGTCTTAATTCTCCATTTTCAAACTACCAGTTGTAAATTAGTAAATAGGTAGCAAGAAATCATCATCTTAAAATTCTCATAATATCTAATATCCCTAAAAGAGTATGGTTAGCTTTTAGGTAAAGGGAGAAGTTTCCCCTGTGCTGAGGGAGCCAGCATTGTCCGAAGACACTTCTGTGGTCATGTGACCAGCATGGCTATATGCCACAGGAACACTGTTATTTCCCATCAAAGTGGAACCTATTTATTTACTTGCATTTGCAGGCTTTCGAACTGCTAGTTGGCAAGTAATGGGAGCTCACCCAATTGCGTAGTGCTTGGGTCTCGAACCTGGGCTATCAACTTTCCAAGTGAAAAGCTTAGCATCTTTTACTGTTGAACCACGGTGTCCCCATGATTAGCTTTTAGGAATCCTGAAATTAGTGTTTAAATAAGAATTTGAGGATATACTGTAACATGTTTCAAGTCCTACTGATATGCATTTATTTATAATATTTGTCATTTTCATCTCTTTGTTTGTATTTACTGCAGAATTACAATCACAAATTTATAAGGTCAACTGTTAATATATTTCTTTTCTTGGAAACAATGAAATTTTCAAAGTTGGCACATGTACCATGTATCATGAACCATATCCTCTTGCTTTGCAAAAGTGCTTCATTTAATTAGGTAGTTCAATGCAGCTCACTGAAATAAAAACACATGATGTGCCGTAGGCAAAAAAGGGAAATACAAAAAAGTAATAAGAGTACATATTGTACCCATCACCATTACCCAAGCTACCATTGTAATAGAAAAATAACAAGCATTCTAATACAGCTGTCTGCTGAAATATATTAGTTTTAATTGAATAGATTTTATGATATTATCACTGAGAGGCACAGCATTCAACTGGCATGCATTTTCAAACCTCAATTATGGAAAGCTTCCTTCAAATTGGTAGATGTTGCTATCCTGCTATTTCTTTCTCTTGGGAAAGAACATTTAATATAAAGGATTCTATGAGGGATTAAACCCAGAAATGTGTTAAACTAATCAGTTTTACTTTGATCTATGATTTGTGCTGTCTCTAAATAAATTAAGTTCCAGCTATTGGAAACATTCAGCAACTCTAAAAAATTGAAGAACAATTGCTCTAGATGAGGGGTATCAAACTCGTGGCATCACAGCAGCATCATGTGACATATTGGGACTTTTTCCCCCTTTGCTAAAGCCAGGCTTGGGCATGACCAGTGCATGACGCATCCAGCCCGCAGACTGTGAATTTGATAGCGCTTCTCTAGATCATGAAAGGATTGCCAGTCACTTTTTAAAACATAAATTCAAAGACTTGAAAAATGATAGTGTCTGCTACAATTCCAGGAAGATTAATGGAATCCAAAATTAGGGGTAGAATTATTAAGCCCTCTATCTGATATGTAAGATATATATTAACATTGAAATTTATATTGATTTTTAGCATCACTCACTATGCCAATCTTTTGGAGTGTCAACAAACATGAAAAAGGAAGACCCAGCAGATATTGTGTAATTGTAGAAACACTTTAAGAATAAATTATTATTATTTTTTAAAAAGTGGATGAATCTTCTTGGGACTTCTCCCTAATTAAAATCAACAAATATTTTGGAAGGGCTTCCAGTTTTGGACTTCCCTGAAGACAGACTGCTCACCGTGATTGTCCGTGGCTTTGGTCCGTGCTTCTTTGTCTGAGAGCCCCGATCGGATAGATCTGAGGCAGAAGCTGCCTGGTAGGCGCAGTGGAGGAAGGGGAGACCATCAGCTGGGTAGAGGTGGGTCACAAACCCCCTCCCTGGCTTGGCAAAGCTCCCTCCCGAAGATATCTGAAGCGGTGGTCTAAAATGGCCACCCTGAAGGGGAAGAGTAAGCTGGAATAAGATTGCACAGGAGAGAGAAAGGAGTGGACAGCAGGAGAAATGGGATGTTATAATTAAATGAAAGGTACCCCAGGATTAATTTTTAAGAATTTTTAAAAAAGGACTTAAGCAGCAAAGAGAAAGAAGAAAAAAAAAGGGTGTGAATTGTTTTTTGACAGTGGCGGGGCTTTGAACCGGAAAAGGTAGAAGCTGGAAGAAGAAATCATTTAACTAATTTGGATCAATTGGATTTGATTTTTTTGGAAAACTGTGGTTTAAAAGCCCCGAACAGAGGGGGAAAAAAAGGGGTGAAGATTTGTTATGATAAAGAGTGCTATCTAATGGTTAAAGTTAATTTGTTTTGTTACTAAAAGACTCTGCTTCTAAAAAATCTCAAGGTACATTGATACAATATAACAAGATCTTTGAAAAATCAAAACTTTGAAACAAAGAGAAAAGCAGGAAGATTCTGCCCTGGGATTAATTGTTGATTTTGGCTGGTCTTGGTTTTGGGCTAGTTATGAACTAAAAAATTGAGAGGAATAAAACAAAAGCTGATTGCTGGAAACTAACCTCATAGACACTGTTTGGATTAAATTACTAGACAAAACCGTGTAAAATGGCGATATCTCTTCTGGAATTAAAAATGGAACTCAGAAATATGAAAGAAATATTACAAGAATGAGGTGAATTGTTGGGTTATACTTTAAAATTCTTTGAAAATGAGATTTTAGAATGTGAACAACAAAGACAACAAAGACAAAAGATGGAAGATGAGGTGGAGCTGACTACAGAAGAGGCCATTTTTAACTATCATCGGGAACAAAGAATTCCGAAAAGGAGGCAAACAGTGGGAAATAAAAATATGAGACGTAAGAAGTTAAATAACAAAAGGAATATTTGCAAAATTAAAAAAGGTAAACAGAAACAGCAGAAAATTTAAGGGTGGAAGGAAGCTATAAATAGGGAGGGGGATAAAAACTGGAGTGGCAGAATAAAGGGGAGAATGAAAGGAAAAAGAAGGGATAAGAAGCAGGATTTGGAAACAAAGAAATATGGGAATTGTAAAAAAATGAAAATGAATTGTTTATTTAGAATGCATAAAGACAATGGCTAATTAATATCTTAAAAGGGGATTCTGCAAGGTGAGCAGGGGTAGCTTCAATATACTTAAAGTTATGAATATTGAAATTGTAAATAATTTTTATGAATTTAAGAAGGGGAAAAGCCATGCAGAATCTGATTTGTATTTGCTATGTAATTTTAAAAGGATTATTAATTTCAATTTTTTAGGTAATAAAGGTTAAATGTTGATTGAGATTAAAAGGGGAGATAATTAGTAAATATGTAAATTTTAGATGTGGTACGCTTAAAATTGGTAATTTAAGGGGGAAACTAATTTTATAGAATGATTGTATTAAATTAGATTTTATGAATGGATGTAATAAGAATATGAGATGAAATATGCAAATATGACAGTTAAAAGTATTAAAGTATAACAACTGAAGATATATGAAATATAGGTGAATTAAATAAAGAGGCAAGCATTTGGAATAATATAATAAAGTAGAAAATGTATAAAAGTATTATTAGGATAAAAAGTTGAATATAAAAATTGAATTATGGTCTTATTTGTATGTAAAGATGAACCTGTAATCATGCTGTTCACTAAAAAGAGACGTTTTTTAAAATGTGGAAAACTGAAATAAAACTTGTTTAAAAAATATTTTGGAAGAAATTGATAGCTTATTTTTAACTATGGGACTGAATATAGTATTATGTTTTTAATGTATAAATTTTTGATTTGAAAATAAAATTTAAACAAACACAAATTATTCAAAGAATCAGTTTTTCA